TCGATTCGTATTGATAAGGAGACGTGCTGATTAGTTTTGGCGGAGGCAGGTCTAGCCGTTTCGAAGATACGGGGCAAAAAGCGCTTAAACGGTAACTCAGTTTTTTAAGAGTACGGAGCGTCCGATTTTAATGATTCAAAAAACATTTTATTTGTATTGACAAGATGAAGAAGTGATCAGATTATCAGATATTTTATAGAGATTTTAACAATAAGTATAAATTTTGTTTACATTCTTATCGGTTCCGTACCAATGTTTATCCGTTAGACGGCAACGCGGCGCTTACGCGCTTCGATATTTTGTCTCTATGCGGTTGAAGCAGTACGATTGCTTTGAAAAAAAGTTCAGAATTTCCAAAATATTTCAAAATAAAGAAAACTTTTTTTTCAAAAAAGGTAAATTTTCCCAAAATATATAGTTTCTCAAAAATCTAATTTTTTCAAAGTAAAATTTCTTCAAAAATGTTAATCTTTTTAAAAGAAAATAATTATTAGTACGGGAAGTTCCAGCAATTTGCCTTAGGCACGATGCCCTAATTGCTTTAAGACAGAACTCCACTTACAGCTAGTTAAATACTATAGATTTTAATGTATATAAAAGTTTTGTTTTTTTTTTAATTTCAATAATTATTACAACTGTTAATTATTAACATTTAGTAATATTGATAAATAATAACATAAATTTAAATAAATAAAAGTGCAAAAGATAAAATTTACATGAAAATAATATCCGTAATATGATTTGATATAAAATATAAGTAAATAATAATAAAAATAAATTAATAAATAATATAAATAAATTTTCTGAATAATAAAATAATACTAGAAAAATAATAAAATATAACAAAATAACAATAATAAAAATAGTAAGATAATAATAATAATAATAATAATAATATAATGTTAGCGTTTCCAAATAATTATTAGTACGGGAAGTTCAAGCAATTTGCCTTAAGGTACGATGCCCTAATTGCCTTAAGACAGAATTCCACCTACAGCTAGTTAAATACTATAGATTTCAATGTATATAAAAGTGACTTCTAGTTCTTATTATAGACGGTCAAAGTGTTGACCATGTACTATAGGGTACATAAATAGCTATTTATATTCATATTAGTGTATTAAAAACCAGCTTTTTTAATATTACAAGCAGACAGACACTCCAATATTTATATGTTTATTCTCCCCCAGCTCTCATACTATCCCGGTCTGTTGTGTTTTGAAATATCCAGCTCTCCATTTATTTTGATTAAACCCCTCACGCCATTGGTCAATTTGGATTTGTTTTCATAACTTTTGTCCGATATATAATATATAATGCTGATTCAAATCTGAAAAGGAACTAGTAGTAGTCGTTCGGTGCGATTAGACGGATTATCGGGCTCATCGTTCACACATTAACAGACATGGATGATTTGATAATCGAACGGACGAGGATATCTTGATTTAATTATAAGTTGTTATCGTAGTTTCAAACACGTGTTTTTTGTAATAGAATCATAAAAGATTATTTTATAAAAGTTGGATTTTTAGGAAGGTAATAGTGCGCAAGGTGTTTATTTCCAGTGGTCGAATTCGAAGTTAAGTGCAGTGTAATTTGACTCAATTTCTGCAAATTGGAAGATGGCTGCTACTAACAATAACGAACCCGATTGCCAAAGTAAGTGCATAATAACTTTTCTTGCATAATCCTTATCCTTTATCTATGTAGTCTGACCATTTGATCGCCTGTACCCATGTTTTTTTTGCTATTTTATTAATTTAATTTTTTACGGTTTTAAATGAGTAACTTTCAACCTTGTGCAAGAATTTTGAGCTTGACTGGTGGTCAAATAGACTTTACTATGATGAACATTGTATTTAATGTTCGAATGCTTTTTTTTCAGCTTTTTTTCAGAAGCGAAATTTGTGCAGTTATTATGATTATTATAAAATTACTATCTGTTTAATATTAATTATAAATAAGCTTGACAAGAGCCTGAAATAATATCTATTATTATTGATTACGGCTTGCTTATGAACAAAATAAATAAATAAATAAATCGTTTTTTGATTTATTTTAACAGTCTGTTACAAAAACGTAGAAGATTTTACTGTAATCTGAACCCAATATTTTAGGACTCCAAAACATCTAAAATTTTTATATATTAACTGCAACTTGCTTGTGCATTTTTATTATAACACTCATACATTTTCAACTTCCCGTATTGGGCCAGAAATCTAAAATGAGATTTTTTTCTTTAGGAGGTTTCTGAACATTTTGTCATACCTCAGATAAATTAGATGTGTGTGTGTTTCGTCGACTTTTTCGGGAGTACCGCTCAACCGATTTGAATGGTTTAAAAACATTCGATTCCTTTTGATAAGGAGATGTGCTGATTAGTTTTTGGCAAAGGCAGGTCTAGCAGTTACGGAGATAAAGAGCAAAGAGTGCAGAAAATAGAAATCGAGTTTTTGAAGAGAACAGAGCATCCGATTTGAATGATACATAAACATTCAATTCGTAAGGACGGGGAGAAGTGGTGTTTCGTTTTTGGTAAAGGCAGGTCCAATTGTATTTGAGATACCGAGCTAAATGTGCAAGAAATAGCTGTTTTTGAATGCTTTTGGAAAAAATCGTTATTTCAATTTTTTTTTTCATTTTTTTTTTCAAAAATTTTTTTGTATGTCGTAAATAATTCAGATTTTAATTTTAATTTTCACTCATATACTTCAAACAAATATTTTTATCTTTGCAATTCAGTTTATATAATAATTATAAATATTTGACAATGTTACAATATTTATAATAGTCTATTTGAAAACACTTAATATTCCTCGAACATTCGTTACGGTACAGGAAGTTCCAGAAATTTGCCTTGGGGCACGATTCCATACACAACTAGTTTAATGTTTTTTGTTTAAGGGGGCATTCTAGTGTAGAGGTATGAATTTTAGGTTATTTTTAAATCATCGTAAACTAGTGGTGTGTGGCATTGTGCCTTAAGGCAAATTGCTCGAGCATCCCGTACCGTAACGAAATTTTCGAGGATCATCAAATGTTTTCAAATAGATCATTATAAATTATGTAACTTTCATTATTCTTACTGTTATAGACAAAATATAAGAGATTATGAATTGGACGACGACGTTTATATATGTACTAGAAAAAAGTAAATGAACAAAATTTTATCAATCGGATTTAAAATGAAGGACATTGTTTAATATTCATAAGAATTATATAAAATGAATTGATAAGTTAAAGTTACTTATTTAAAGTATATAAGGGAGCTTGAAAACTTATCCAGAATTAAAATTAGAATCCTAATTATTTTCGATATACAAAAAAATGAATATTGAAAAAAAAATCTAGAAGCTATTGTTTCGTCAACACAAGCAGAAAGTTTCTTGATTCATTCTCTTTCTCTCAAAAAGTGCTATTTTTTTAACCATTTAGGTCCGTATCTTCGAAACCTTTGCCAAAAACTAATAACCACTTCTCCCAATCAATACTAATTGAATGTTTTTTAGATTATTCAAATTGGATGCTGCTTTCTCTCGAAATCTCGATTATATTTTCCTGCACTCCTTGCTTCGTATCTCCCTAAAGGCTAGACCTGCTTTTGCCAAAAACTAATCTGCACGTCTCCCTATCAATAGGAATCGAATGTTTTTTGAACCATACAAATCGGTTGATTCGTGCGCCCGAAAATGTGGACGTAAGCTTGTATTCATACATATATACACACGCACATACACATCATTTTTTTTAATGTATGGAACAATGGAATAGTTCTGGTACAGTAATTAAAAACCATCGTTTTTGTCAATTATTAAGATAGTGATATATGTCAGGAAATAATTTCTTAATATATATTATGTTCCCGAAGGAGAAGTTTGTTTTCATCAAAAAATCCGAGTCGCTAATTTTATGTTGTCTCGTTTCAAGCTATTCTGAATCGTATGAGACCAAATTTGGAAAAAGTA